ATCCCACTCTCTGATGTGCTTGTTTATTTCCAAGTCTTTTGTCCCCGCTAAGTATGTTCTTCATAGGGCTCAACGTTCCCATCCGATGTAGCCTTCCCACAAACTGGAAGAACCAAATGAAAGCTTTCCGTGATGGGACATCCGTAATCGTAACAGCCATTCTTGACTCCAACCCACCTCCCTGTTTCCCTAAGAAGCTCTGAAAGAGAATTCAGAAGGTGGTAATAAGTTATGAACCAGGGAAACATCCACATGGTCCCATCACACCTTTCATTTGGCTTTGTTGTTTGGAAACATCTGCTCTGTCGCTTCCCAGCTGCAAATGGAGATAGTGAAATCCAGCACTTGTCTACTCTAAAGTAACTCTCCTTGATCTCCATGGGGGCTTGTTTCCATAGGTAAGTGACTACAGGACTGCAGTGTCAGACCAATAAAATTAAATTTCAACCTCTGGATAATCCAGATTGTTCCGTGTTTGGTTACGTTTTCCAAATTCACAAAGGTCTTTTTAATTATACTCGCTCTATGTCAAGAAGCAATCACCAATGTGTAGAGGCAATGAATGTTCCTTTTGTTCTGTTTTTAGGAAAAATGATATTTTTTGGTGTGTACTTGGCCGCGTTTCTTTTTCTACCACAGATTAATGTTAACTTTTTGTGTGTCTACGATGAGAATTTATGAATGGAAAAAATTCACTGTGTGTTTTTCACTGGGCATATACCTCATGGTACATTGCACAGACGTGTAAGTTGTAAGTTGCACTGCAACATTATAAAAGGAACATATTGCTCTTTTTTCAAAGATATTAACTTATTTAAAAATATAGAGAGACTGTATATTATTGAAAAAGGACATTTATTCTTCCTAAATTGAAAAGTAACTTTTGTTTTGGGGAAAAGTTGTAAAACTTCAGTTGTACATTGGACTTCAATAAACGGAATTCTCTGCATTGGGAAGTTTTTTCTTTTCTTCCTTAGCACGTTGTGTCCTTGAAGAAAGAAATCTGAGGCTTCGTTCCTACAGCCCATTTGTAATGCACTGTTACATAGGCCTCGAGAAGATTTATGATTTTAATTTCAGTTCATATGTTAAATGACTGTGAAAGAAGTCTTCTGGCTATTATTTACATACCAACTGAAAAGTACGATCGTGGCTTTAAGCTGGACTTATTCCCAGATGTGGGATGCATATAAAACCCAGGCGGAGAGTCCATTGCACCATAGCAGTTGCTACCCTGATTTTATTTTCACGCATCTTGCAGACGCCTCTGGTCCCAGGTAAGACCACACAGAATCCCAGCCAAGCAAATACAGACCAACATATGTACGGATTGTATTTCAACTTCACCGCTTACTTGAAGGCAGACAGGCTTTATCTCCACACAAAATGATCCAGAAATATTATCAGGAAATATAAAACGATACAGATACTACACCATTAGTGAATTTCTCTCATTCCTCAGGACGTGGCCCTTGAGCACTTTTGAACAGAACAGGATGAAATACAAAAATCGCTTTTCATTTTTTCCCAATAGCCCAGTGAGCAGGGTCGGATTTAGGCATAAACTAAACAAGCTACAGCTTAGAGCTTCACAATCCTCAGAAAATTTCAGAATTTTTCTTTTTTCCCCAGCTTTTAGAATTTTATGGGGCTTTTTATGTGGACTGTAATCGAGGAGAGAAATTATGTACCGTGATGTATGAGAGAGATTAAACTCTATGAGAGAGATCAAGTTAGCCAAAGGATAAATATGTAATCAGTAAATGCATTCATTTGAAATTAGCATTTCTTGCTATTAAATTATTAAAAGGCATATTTATGTTTTCAATTTTTTTGTGGTGACCCAAGGTCCTGTTTTGGTATGCACCTTTGTGAGACCT